ATAAATAAAATCTTTAAAAAAAAATAAAATAAATACAGCAGGGGCGCCTGGGTGGCTCAGTCGGTTAAGCGGCTGCCTTCAGCTCAGGTCATGATCCCAGGGTGCTGGGATCGAGCCCCGCATCAGGCTCCCTACTCAGCAGGAAGCCTGCTTGTCCCTCTCCCACTCCCCCTACTTGTGTTCCCTCTCTCGCTCTCTCTCTCTAATGAATAAATAAATCTTTAAAAATAAATAAATAAATAAATACAGCAGGGGCACCTGGGTGGCTCAGTCGGTTAAGCCTCTGCCTTTGGCTCAGGTCATGATCCCAAGGTCCTGGAATCGAGTCCTGCATTGGGCTCCTTGCTCAGTGGGGAGCCTGCTTCTCCCTCTCCCTCTGCTGCTCCCCCTGCTTGTGCTATCTCTCTGACAAATAAATAAATTTTATAAATAAAGAAAGACAGTGGGGCGCCTGGGTGGCTCAGTCGGTTAAGCATCTGCCTTGGGCTCAGGTCATGATCCTAGGGTTCTGGGATTGAGCCCCACACCGGACTCCATGCTCAACGGGGAGGCTGCTTCAAGATTCTCTCTCTCCCTCTACCCCTCCCTCGCTTGCTTATGCTCTCTCTGTCTCTAAAATAAATAAATAAAATCTTTAATTAAAAAATTAAAGGAAATTCTCAAGCAGAAGGAAAAAATATCAGATGAAAATATGGAATTATACAAAGTAATGGAGGATACTGGAAGTGGTGATAACATGGGCAAGCCCACAAGATTTTGCCTTATTAAATTCCAACAGAAGATAGGAATAAGCAGATAACTGTTTAACTACTAAAAATAATAAGTTAATTAAGTTGGAGGATAGATGGTCAATGTACAAAAAAATCAACTTTATTTCCATGTCATAGCAATGAAGAATTGGAAATAGAAAATTTTTAAATAGTACCATTTACAGCACATCAAAAATACGAAATATGGAGATAAATCTGACCCCCCCTATACAAATGTGCAAGAGCTGACACTGAAAGCACAGTTCCTAAAATTTACAAGTATAAATTATACTTTATCAAAACTTTAAACCTCCTCTTCTTCAAAAGATACTATTAAGAGCATGAAAAGACAAGCAACAGACTAGGAGAAAATATTTGCAAGTCATATATTTGATAAAGGACTTATAATCAGAATATACATTATTATATTATAACAAAGAATATAATCCAATTTTTAAATGGGCAAGATTTAAGCAGATACTTTACCAAAGAAGATATGTGGATAGCAAACAAGCATATGAAAAGATATTCACCAGCATTAATTGTCAGGAAATGCAAATTAAAACCCAGTGAGAGGGGCACCTGGCTGACTCAGTCAGTGGAGCATGCAACTTTGGATCTCCAGGTTGTGAGTTTGAGCCCTGCGTTGGGTGTAGAGATTACTTAAAAATAAAATACTTATTTTTATTTTTTAATTTTTTATATAGTCTCCACACATAGCATGGAGCCCAACACGGGACTTGAACTCATGACCCTGAGATCAAGACCTAAGCTGAGATCAAGAGTCATTCACTTAACCAACTGAGCCACCCAGGTGCCCCCAAAATTTATTTTTTAAATATAAATTAAATAAATAAATAAATCCCAGTGAGATAACATCATACACCCAATAGACTAGCTAAAATTAAAGACTGATGATAGCAAGTGTTGTTGAGAATGTGAAGGAGCTGGAACTCCTCATGAAGGTGTAAAATGGAACTACAGGGGTGCCTGGGTGGCTCAGATGGTTGAGCGTCTGCCTTCGGCTCAGGTCATGGTACCGGAGTCCTGGGATCAAGCCCCGCTTTGGGCTCCCTGCTCACTAGGGAGCCTACTTCTCCCTCTCCCTCTGCTCCCCTGCTCCTGCTCTCTCACTCTCCCTCTATCTCAAATAAATAAATAAAATCTTAAAAAAATAATAAAATATGGGCGCCTGGGTGGCTCAGTTGGTTAAAGCGACTGCCTTCGGCTCAGGTCATGATCCTGGAATCCCTGGATCGAGTCCCGCATCAGGCTCCCTGCTCGGCGGGGAGTCTGCCTCTCCCTCTGACCCTCCCCCCTCTCATGTGCTCTCTCTCATTCTCTCTCTCTCAAATAAATAAAATCTTTAAAAAAATAATAATAATAATAATAAAATAATAAAAATAAAATGGAACTACAGTTGACCTTTGAACAACACGGGTTTGAATTGCTCAGGTCCACCCTTATGTAAATTTTTTTTCACTAATACAGTACAGTACCAAAAATGTATTTTATCTTCCCTATGATTTTCTTTAAGTTTTATTTTTTTTTTTTAGTAATCTCCATACCAAAGTGGGGCTCAAACTCATGACCCCGAGATCAAGAGTCACATGCTCTTCTGACTGAGCCAGCCAGATGCCCCCTTTATGGTTTTCTTAACAATTTTTTTCTCTAGCTTACTTTATTGTAAGAACCCAGTACGTAATAATGTATACAAAATATGCATTAATCAACTATGCTATTGGTAAGGCTTTGGGTCAACAGTAGGCTATTAGTAGTTAAGTTTTGGGAGAGTCAAACATTACATGTGGATTTTCAACTGTGTGAGCGGGATCAGTGCCCCTAATACCCACCATGTTCAAGGGTGAACTGTACTTTGTACCATATAACCTAACAATTCCACTTACAGATATATATCCAAGAGATCAACAAAAAAACTTCTACACAAATATTCATATCAGTGTTATTCATAATAGTCGAAAACTGAAAACAACCCAAATGTCCATTTATTGGTGAATGTATAGAGAAAACATACAGCCACACAATGGAATATTGTCTAATAAAAAGGAATGATGCACTGATATATGCTACAACATCACTGAACAATGAAAACATTACACTAAGTGAAAATATCAATCAGGAAAGACCTTATATTGTATGATTCCACTTGTATGAAATGTCCAGAATGGGCAAATCTAAAGAGACAGAAGATTAGTGGTTGCCTAAGGCTGGGGAAGGGAGAATGGGGTGAAGAGTAAGGAGGGGTGCAGGGTTTCTTTAGGGGACAAAAATGTTGTAAAATTCAATTGTGATGATGGGTATATAATCCTGTGAATTAAGTTTTAAAAAAACATTGAATTAAATACTTAAATGAGTGAATTGTACGCTATATGACTTCTATCTCAGTAAAGCTATTTTAAAATGTTGGCAGTTTTCTTAAAAGTTAAACATACCCTCAGATAGGGTCCGGCCATTTCATTCCTAGGTATTTACCCAAGAAAGCTGAAAACATTTGATTACACAAATACTTACACACAAATGTTCATAGAAGCTTCATTTGCAATAGCCCCAAACTGGAAACCATCAACAAGGAGAATGGACAATTTGTGGTATATCCCCACGATGAAATACCACTTGGCAATAAAAAGGAGTCAACTATTGATACACATAATAACATGGATAAATCTCAAAATAATTATGCTGCCTGACAGAAACCAGACAAAAATAGAGTACATACTCTATGATTGCACTTATATAAAATTCTAGAAAATACAAATTAATCTCTAATGGTCAGTAGTTGCCAGGGAAAGGACAGGGAGGGGCAGTAGAGAGCAGTTCTCAAGGATCACAAAGAAACTTTTTGGGGAGCGATGGATACGTTTATTATCTTGATTGTGGTGATAGTCTCATGAGTGTATACACGTATCAAAATTACCATATTATACACCTTAAATATGTGCAGCTTATTATATGTCAATTATCCCTCACCAAACAGAAAACAGAACAAAACAAAAACAGATGCCAGGGCCGTATCCTCCGAGATTCTGAGTCAGTAGATCTGGGTGGGATCTGGATGGCTTTAGCTAAGCTCTCCGGGAGATTGTGATGATCAGTCTGACTGGGGAACACTGGGTGGGATTGCAGACCAGCACTTCTGTCTTTAATGTGCATACAAATCACTTCTGGATTTGTTCAAATGCAGATTCT